CGCGTTGGTGTTCGTCAGCCTTTGTCAGCCTTCATTCTGGCAGCGGTGGAGGCGTGAGAGCAGGTCTGCCGGTGCCCCGTGTGCCGTCGTGTAACGGCATCTGTCCTTCAGGCCCTGCTCTGCTGTTTGCGAAGTCCGGCCGAGGGAAGGAGGAGGGAAGAAGATTCTATGCTTGTTCAGCTTGTAGGGATAGAAAAGATTGTAACTTTTTCCAGTGGGAAGATGAGAAGGTGAGAGAGCCCTGCTTAAGACTGTGGGGGATTTTTTTTCCCCTATTTAACACAAAATTAGAAAAAAAAATGGGGGTATATTGGGTTCTGGAAGTCTGGCAATTTCTGTTTTATGAACTTGTAATAGTTTGCATTTAGGGGAGCACTAATTTCTGCCAGGAGAATATGCTCTAAATATAACTTTCAAGGAAGGCTGTGTACATTTTGAGCAAAACTGGGATTTGTTACTGTTTTGCCAAAACACTGAGGTATTCAAGTTATGAAATTTGCCAATACTATGTAAGGTTGAACAAGATAGCATAGTTCAGATCCCAAGATGTCCTCATCTTCCACGATAAAGACAGAAAAACTGGTGTATACAGGTGAACAGTGGGATCGACAGAACAGTGAGATCGCGGGGATCAGCGTGATGCTCGGTAGTCTCAGAATATTTGCAGCAATTTCTGTTTGTCTAAAGAACTTTGGTCAGATAATTGTAGGGTAACAAAACTGGGACTGATCTGTTTTCACGGAGAGCTTACCGCCGTTTTTGTCCACTACATTTTGTGTCACTTTCTCTGTTTCCTAAATGAGTGTCTTGTGTTGTGGTCGTTGTCCTCAGCGGGGTGGCAGGGTGGAATTTAATTGGGTTTGTAAGCATTTCATTGCTGTGCTCGTTACTACTGAAAAGTTGCATAAAGAGAAAATGACATGGTTAATTACTCGGTTGCATAGATTTAAATAGTGTTCCTGGTGAAATTTCATTTTGAATGTGACTTGTAGCATGGCATCTTTTGTTCTACGGAATTTTACCGTCTCCCTCTTTAAACAAATCAGTGCTGTAAGTTTTGCGCAAATGTCTTTAAACTCTGTTAACTGTGAAACCAGTAAGTATGTTTTGTGGAAACAAAGTAGAAGACTCAGAGAAGAGCTCTCATGCTTTTAAAATAATCACACACAAAAGACTTGGGCAACGTTTCTGCTGTCATCAGTTGTGCAGAGTCAGGTCATAGTTCTTCAGAGGGAATGCAACTGCTGGCATGCATTAATGGAAAGTATACCTCTTTCAGTCTTCACCATAATCATGTTTTGAGTTTTTCTGTGAGTATTATGTGTGGTAGAAGAATGAAATGCTTCTATTTATTTTTTGCACAGTTTAAATTCACGAGTGACTTGTGTTGTTATGCAGCATGCCTCCGTGCTGCAGTCATTCTTTTTCTTCTGAAACAATCCAAAGAATGTGATTATTTTTCTATGCAGAGTAACTAAAGCATGAGCCCTTTGATGCACCTTTATTGTTTAATATTGAGATTTAGTGTACAATACAGAGTGGTATCTGTTTGTTTTGTAACTTTTTATGTACATACATTTTACAGGTGTCAACAACTAGGCTTGCAGCACGTGAAGAGTATAATAGAAATCATCAACCTTCTTTTACACACAGACAGAATGTGGAAAGGTATTGTTATGTAAATTTTCTTCAGTAAAAATCAAGTAGTACTAGTTTAGGTAATCAGAACGTAGAGATAATATTTTCAGGATTCTTTTGAATATGGAAACATGCCAGAGGGATTTGGAAAAATAAGAACTGGTTGGCTGCAACAGGAAAATAGCATGAAATGTCTAATGAGAGCATGGTATTTTACATGGTACAGTCCCAGGAACTGTGTCCCTTGGGGTTTTTGGGCGGTTTTGGGGTTTTTTTTTGTATATGTGTATAGTAGTTCTTACGTTAGTGCTCATAATGTGCTAACAACAGGTTAATAGCAGTTTCAGTTCCAAAAATTGTTCCTGCCTTTAGCGTGCAAAAGTAATAGGCTTAACATTGTGAAAAGAAGCAAAGGTAATACGGTAACAAATAATGTCTGAGTTTCGTGTGTAAACGTACAGGACTGCTTGCTGCTAGTTGATATGGAGCCTTCCTCTAATCCAGTTATTTTATGGGGACTCTCAATATATTTGGCCAGCGTATTATATGCTTGCTTTCAGGGGAGGCTTTTTCAAAGTCTCCTTTGAATATTTTTTTTGTTAACCTAGAGACAGTGGAGTTTTGCAAGAGCAGCTTAAACTACATTGCCTGTTTAAATTGAACTCTTACAAAATGTGAAACCTCCTTCATAGCTCTCTTTCACATCTTTTATAGAGGTTTTTTCAAAGTTTGTTGCCTGTTGTCTTTTGTATTTAAAGGTACAAGAATTTTGTTCTGTTGCCCTTATCAAAGAGGAGGTTTTGCCAGGAATGCCAGCAATTGCTATTGCCAGATGAATGGGAAGAACACTCGGCTCACCAGTTCCTGTGTGATATCTCCACTGCCCAGCTGAAAAGTCCCAGTCAACTTCTTTATCCACTGGAGAATAAAAAAACAAATGCACAGTATTTATTTGCCGAGAGAAGTTGCCGGTTCCTACTGGATCTTATTACTGATTTAGGATTCAGACGAGTGCTTTCTGTTGGAACACCCAGGTACACCAGTGAGAATTGTTATGCTTTCAAATAATATTTTTGTCTCAAAATTGTGCAGCTTACTAATATTTAAGTAATCAAAAATTCTCCCATAATAAGAGGTTCACTGTGCTTTAATTGGTTGAGATTATGCAAGCATCTAGTGGGTTCTTACTTTGAGCTCATAATATACAGGAGAAGCCTCGCTGCACTGCAGATAACATACAAACACTTTAAATGTCTTGCTTTGTTTCTTGTAGAAGTGACAAAGAGTTTCTTTGCTTGTGTTTTGTTTTTTTTTGTTCATGGTGATCCAGTAGGCTCCACTGACTTTTCATCTTTTAAGACTAACAGATTTTTCTGACTTTGAAGATTAGCTAAATGGAATCCTCCAATTTCAGATTACTTGATTTTCTCTATCTGTTTGGTTTTGGGTTTAGTAAAGTATCAGGCATTCTTGTCTTGCAAGATAATTTCTGAAGCCTATGATTACACGTTAAATTTCTTTGCTCCAATTATACTTCAGGCTTCATGAGATGATCCAGTCAAAAGCATCACAAGAAGAAGATTTCAGGGTTAGAAGCCTTCTGCTAGATATTGATTTCAGGTAGGTTTTGTTAAATGTTCATCTGTCTGAAAAGTACGTACAAAGATCTGTCTGAAAAGTACGTACAAAGATTTGTGTTCTTACTGCTTTAAAAGATAAATTGGTGGCTGTTTTCCCTTTCCTGTCTCTGCATCTCTGTTCCTGCACACATACATAAATGATATCCAGTTTATGAGAAAAGTAATTAATAATTCCCAGTATTGGTCTGTATTGTCAGTAATCAGAATCCAAAGATGTTGTTTTTCTTAAGGCCTCATTTTCTCTGTAAATGCCCCTTAGGGTGGGCAAGAAGTTGTTTATGTTTTTCTACTACTTAAAACTTATTTTACAGGTATTCACAGTTTTACACAGAAGATGAATTCTGCCACTACAACATGTTTAATGATTATTTTTTTGGTGGAGAGGTAAGGCCG